ATCTATCTATCTATCTATCTATCTATCTATCTATCTATCTATCTATCTGTCTATCTATCTATCTATCTATCTATCTATCTATCTATCTATCTACAGGACATCCTCGAGTATATGTTCAGCAACATGCAGACCAGACTGGGGTATCGTGTACTGGACAATGCGCTCTGTGCAAAGGTCAGTCTCTGGGCTCTGTGTGTGTAATGATCATCATCATCCGGTGCCTTGCCGACTGGCGTGGGCGATCATGGACCTCCACATTACTCCTTGCGTTGAAGCAATGGTGTCTGTTGTTCATGCTGCTCCTAGTCATGTTGTGTAATGATGCACATTGTATTCCATCCTAGATTCTGAACTGTTGAACTTAATTGACCTTTTCACCTTTGCTTATAAGATTACAGATAGGATTAAGCCACTTTCATTCATAATGAACATATATTGGGAAATCGAGAAAAATCATAAAATGGAACTTGGCGTGTGTGGGTTTTTTTGGTTTTTTGTTCTAATTGTTGAGGTTCTTGGGGGGTTGTTGTTGTTGCTGTTGTTGTTGTTGTGCTTCTTCTTTTTCTTCTTATTGTTGTTGTTGTTATTGTTTTTGTTGTTGTTGTTGTTAATGATGACGATGATGAAGATGATGATGATGATGATGATGATGATGATGATGATGATGATGATGGTGATGGTGATGATGATGATGTTGTTATTGTAATGGGACATATCGAACAAAAAGAATAAATAAACAAAAAGTCGAACAGAAAAGTGACAAATACATTCCCACCTCACCAGGAGTATGACTGGCAGTTCGAATCCTTCCTCAACCGGCCGGAAGTACAGAAAGCTGTGCACGTGAGGCCAGGCAAGTACGCCATGTTCGCGCCAAAAATGCTCCGGAAAATGGCGGCGGACTTCCTGTCTGGTGTGGGGGACGAGCTCTCTGTTCTCCTCGATCACTACAAGGTACTGCATCAACTATATGTGAGGCATCGTGGTTAAATCAGGCGCTCGTCAAAATAATGACATTTTTCTTCCCGTTGGGCAATTTTTATCTTTTTTTTGTGGTTCAACACATTTAACAGCCATTAAAAACACAGTGCTGAGTGGATTTTACTGAAAAATGTCGATCAAAGGCAGAAAAAATGTAAATTTAGTTTCCAAGGACTCTCAAGATTTTGAGGTCACCAAGCTTTCGCGGCCATTTTCTCTCTGATTTTACTTTTTAAAATAAGTGACCTGACCTCCTTCAATCTGAAATATCTCGACTTCTATTGAAGGTAGATTTTTTAATCAAAAGCAAGACAAATAAACACGCTTTAAGATGATACCAATAACTCCTTGTGCCCAAAAATAGACGAGCACCTGATTCCACCGCACTGTGACACATATCTTACTTACCTTACAAGGCTCTCTGTTCTTCTCAATCACTACAAAGAACTTCATAAAATATATCTTACTTATCTTACTACGAGGTAATGTTTGATAAAGCCCACGTGGGACGCTCACTGTTAAAAAAATCAGGAAAAGTCAAATGCAGTTTTTGGGACACCTGAATAGATATAAAGGTCTTGAACATCCAGCTCTCAGGGGCAAAATTGAAGACAAACGAGACAGGGGTAGGCCCAGAGAAACCAACTTAGAGAACCTAAACAAATGGGTAACGGGGAAAGATCAGGGAAACGTATCTTTTTTAAGAGCATCCGAGCGAAGGAATGAATGAAGAACCATGATCGCCGATGTGTGTCGCAGATCTGGCAGTGGATGAATGACCATACTACGCTCTCTGTTCCTCTCAATCACTACAAGGTACTTCATCAAATTATATCTTACTTACTTCACTGTGCTCATATGCCAGTTTGTCATAGTGAGTGTCGTAAAACCTTTATTAAACAAACCCACTTTACTTTGTTTTATCCTACCTCCTGTAGTGTTAGATGTCGAGGGGAGGTGCAATTTTCGGTCAAAGGCTATAATGGTGGCTTCTTCTGTTATGTTATTCTTTTGGAGGACCTTTTTAACGCCATCCAGCCAAGTTATGCGTGGTGTGCTCTTGCCCGTGTATCCCGACTGTTTTTGAATTACAAATATGAATAAATCTGTGAAATTCAAATGTTTGTTCAGCCAAGATTTCCTAGGTCAGGCCACCTGTTCCTTATGGGAGCACATGAGAAAGGAGGTGGGG